TCCTTTGTAAATATTTATTGATAACAGGAATGGCAATTTTATCTGAAAATTTTGAGTCTTGCGGTGTTCCTGTCCCAACGTAGCAATGGGGTGATTTTGGGAACGATGTCGGAGATTGTAAAAAAAAAAACCCCCCAAAACTTAAAATCACCTTAGTCCAATTTTTTTATGAGCAAACTCAAATCGATGTATGAAAAGATGTAAAATTGGTGTCTTGTATCAAAAGCTTCTTCAAAGATTTGTAAGAAATATGATTTTCTACCTAAGAGCTTCTTTTTGAATCTATGGAATATGTGTTTTTCTATGAAAAAGAATCCCTTGCTTTCCTTCTCTAATTGTAGATGAAATTATGCATTCATAGACCTCAAAATTAGGTCAAAACTTATGCCCTAAATCCTTTTCAAGAAGAGGTTGAATCAAACAAGAAAAGTGAGTCTTACTAGGTGGATTGAATGTTGCGATCACATCGTGCAGTATGGGCATACTTGTTTGCATGCAGAAAAATAATTATTGAGGGTTGCGACAGCAACCTTCAAGGCTTGGGATTGCAACCCCACACTTTGTCCCTCGTTCATTTTGGCCCTTGCTCGAGTATCTTTTCTAATTGCTTCTATAGCCCATCATCTTCAAATCTTCATCATTTCATCCTCATTCTTCACAATCATCCATAATTGATCCAATGCAAGTTTCAAAAATTTACAATTAAGTCTCAACTTTTTCAATGTTTGATTTAGCTCCTGAAACTTGTGAACCTTTGATTGCCTCATTAATGATTTCAATTGATCGTATGAAATTCAGTTGATCATTAATTGCTACGAATCAATTCGAATTAAGCTCTATTTAATCTTTTTCACGTCAATTGCATCCAAGTCAAGATTTTACTTATAATTAACATAATTTAATCTAAATTAGGTAAATATAAGCTCAATTAACAATAAATAATAAAGTTTAGAAGCCTCGAATAAGTTTATAAAATGCACTTATCAAATTAAATATAAATGTGTGATTAAAAATGTACAGGGAGCACAAAATAAGCAATAGGTAAAATAAATGGATTATACTACTTTGCCATTAAGTTTCACATCAAGTTTCACACTTTTTTGTCATTTTGTGTGAGTATTGTCTGTTATACCCTTATCTCTAATTTTAATTGTTTTTCGCATTTTTACCCTATAATTGGTAT